TGTGTCAAGAGAAGCGCACTGGAAATCCTTCTTCTTGTGCTCGTCCTTGCCCTTTGCGTCGCCCACGAGAGAGCCTGGAGGCGGAACAGGTCGTTCGAGCTGAGGTGGATGGCCTTCGGGAGGCGATGAAGATGGATGAACACGCAGCCCTGGGGAGGGCCTGCAGCAGAGCAGCTGCGAGGCGGTCCACTAGGGCTCCCAACTTCGCGCTTCGCGCTGCGCGAAGCGCGAAGCGCGAATAACTTCGCGCCCTCGCGCCGCCCTCCCAAAGGGAGAATAGGAGGACGAGGAGGAGGGGGGAGAAGGAACGAGGACCGCGAAGCGCGAAGCGCGAATAACTTCGCGCCCTGGGGAGGGCCTGCAGCAGAGCAGCTGCGGGGCGGTCCAAGGACCGGCCACGGTGGGACGCGACCGCATCGAACGCGTGCAGAAGGCGTTGCACGGGTCACTTTTCATGACGGGGAACTGGAACACACAAATAGATACCAACAGATAACCAGATTCCCCATATCTCCCCATATGTTCAGGGTATTTGTCTTCCCCACCACTTCCCATATCTTCCCATACTTTCTGGGGGGATCGACGATTCATTGTGTCTGTGCGTGTTGTTTCCCCTCCTGAACGTTGCACGGGTCGCCCTTCAGCACGTGCATACCGCGCGTGGCGCTGGTCGGGCGAAAGGGGGGGATAGCAAAGGGGGGGTGAGAATCAGCTCACGTATCGAGGCCATGTATCGAGGAACGGGCCCCTCGGTGGGGCCGAAACCAGCTGCATGGAGCAGATTTCGTAACCCCCCCTTTCCCAATCCCCTCCTTTCGTCCGGCCCGAGCATACCGCGTTGGGCGCCCGAGTTATCCGGGGTAACTCGGGTCCGGGGTAACTCGGGTTTGGATTCCCGAAAAAGGAACCCGAGTTATCCCTGACCCGAGTTACCCCTGATGATTCGGGGCTATGGACGCCTGAGTTATCCGGGGTAACTCGGGTCCGGGGTAACTCGGGTTCGGACTCCCGAAAAAGGAACCCGAGTTAGCCCTGACCCGAGTTACCCCTGATGATTCGGGGCTCTGATCCTTTCGTCCGGCCCGAGCATACCGCGCGTGGCGCTGGGCAGCCGAGCGGGGCGGCCGGCGGTGGCGCGGCGGAGCAGCCGACTGACTACCTACCAGACCACCCCAACCCAACCTGAAGACCCGAATTTCGGGTTGGGGGGGGTAAGGGTTCCACGCGTGTTTTTTCGATGTTCCCCGCCCCCCCCACTGGAAATCGACGGTAAATTTGAGCCTTCGGGTTGGGTTGGGGTGGTTTGGTGGGTGGTGACTCCTTTCGTCCGGCCCGAGCATACCGCGCGTGGCGCTGGGCGGCCGAGCGGGGCGGCCGGCGGTGGCGGAGGAGGAGGAGGAGGAGGAGGAGGAGGAGGAGGAGGAGGAGGCGGAGGAGGAGGAGGAGGAGGAGGACCATCGTCGTCGCCGCCGCCGTCATCGGCTGGCCAGCCGAGGGGCTAAGTGCGCCGCGCTCGACGCCGTCGGGGCCGCGGCGATCGGGTCGAAGCGGTCCAACAGCTCCAGGGTCAACCCCCAGGCGGAGCCAGGCGGCATCGGGTTCGGCGCGGCGGAGGAGGTACTGGCGGTGGCGTGGGCGGGAGGGAGGGAGGGGAGGAAGGGCAGAGCAGGCTGGAGGCCCCCAGACGGCCCCCTTGAGGCCTATCGAGGCCTCTTGCGAGGGCAGGGTGAAGAGTGAGGGGGAGGAGGGGGATTTGTGGTGAGGGGGTGGGGTGGGGGGCGTGGGGGGGGGGGGGGGCACGCGGCGAGGGGGCGAGCCAGGCGGCATCGGGTGCGGCAGGGCGGAAGAGGCAGGCGGCAGGGGGCGCGCAGAGCGTGTTGGGCTGCGCGGCCTCTCTGGACCTCGGAGGCCTCTTGCCCTGTGCACGGGGAGGTCCCGAGGCGGGGGAAGGCCGTGGAGGAGAAGGAGGAGGACGCAGGCACCGGCTGTGGACGATGCAGGAGGGCAGAGGAGGGTCGAGCATACGAAGCAGGGTGGGGGTGGCAGAACGGGGGCAGGCTGAGGCGGGTGAGAGAGGGAAGGAGTGCGACAAGGACGGTCAGGGAGGAAAAGAGAGGCGTGGGGATGGGGAGGGGCGAGAGGACGGAGCATGAGGAAGAAGATCAGGTGAGACAGCGCCTCGGAGAGGTCGGGCCGCGAGCTCGCCAAAGGCAACAGGTAAGGGGCCAGAACTTGTGCCATCTACTTTCTGGCCTGTGCCCTTTACCCTCTGGAGGAGGGCAGCCATCCTCTGTTCATACTGTGGGGCTTCCTGATTGCCCGAAAGACTCTGAGGGGCCGACAGAAAATTTTAGACCTTGGAGGCCTGAGAGAGTCTCCTCTAGTCGAGCACTTCCCTCAAACGAGGATTCGGCCCTGATCCTTGACGAAACGCGCTCAAAACCTCAAGTCCCTGTCTGGCCAGCTCCTTGCACTCGCGAGATATCGTTACGTTTTTTTTTTTTGCGACCAGCCGCCACACTTGAGACAGAGAAACTGTTGCTCGTTGACTTCGGTGCTCCCGGGATCCCCCTCAAGACCCGTGGAGAAGAACACCTGACCAGAGCAAGAGCTGGGTCCGACACAGCGACGAGGGAATGGCCCTCAGGATCATCGAGCAACGAGGCAATAGCGAGGGGTGTACCGTCCCCAGGCCTCGAACTGGAGTCAGAACCGATGAGAACATGCACACGCCGCATTCCTAACTCAGTCTGCTGCCACAGGTGCCAGTTCTGCTTCAGCCTCGATATCCTGAGCGAAGGTGGGCCACGTCTCTACCTCATCCCACTGCGGACAACAAGGAGCACCGCACTGGCAGCTTTAAGAGAAACGTAGGTTCTTCCTGCAGCCAGATCGACGGCCGTGAGCCGAGAAGTGTCAGCCGAGGGAGACCAGCCAAGGCTTACTCAGCGTGGTTATCAACCACCTACCTTGCTGGCCTGACCGAGACGGAATCCATCACCTTGGAGTTGCTCTAACCCCCTATCCGACCTGTGGGCTCTCTCATGAGAGGCCTCTAACGGTTCAGCTGGCACCTTCAGACTCAAAAACGAACTTCCGAACTCCAGAACGTGTTGTAACACTCGCGCTGCTCGAAAACAGGCACCCTGATATGCTGGTTGACGCCGAGACAGGCGAGACCTAGCTTAGTGGGGCGATCTCGACACGCTCAGGGATGTCGACCACGACCTCACGGGACGGAAGCCCCGTGCGGAGGAAAGAGAGGAGGAAGAGGAGGAGGAGGAGGAGCAGGAGGGGGAGGAGGAGGAGGAGGAGGAGGAGGGAAGGATTGAGGGTGGAGGAGGAGGAGGAGTAGAAGAGAGGAGGAGGAGAGGATGAGGAAAGAAAAAAAAAAGGGAGGAGGAATGCTGCCACCCTGCCCTGGTGTTACCGTTAACCCAGGCGGGCCCCGGGGGAGGGGGGGCTCCTGCTGCGCGCGAGGATGCAGATGATGCCGACCACGATCCAAAGCACGAGGAGCATCAGGATTCCGGGCGCCGTGGCCTCCGGAGGAGGGGCGATGTGGGAGAGGCGAGGAAGGGGGAAAGCGAGGGAACCAGAGAGGGAGGAGGAGGAGGAGGAGGAGGAGGAGGAGGAGGAGGAGCAGGAGGAGGAGGAGGAGGAGGAGCAGGAGGAGGAATGAGGGGATGAGGAGAAGGGCCAGACGAAGCCCAATATGTATAAACGATGCAGCAGTACCACCTCATGCCCCAAGTCCCCTCCTCAAACATCCCCGCCTGCCTCCCTCTTTTAACTACAGGAGCACCCCCTTCAAAGATGAGCACCCGATGGGCCTGCCACTCAAGCAGGAAAGTTCCGTTTTGAAGAGGAAATGCCTTGCATCTTGCGAGCGGATGTAGGTTCATGCAGATCAGCGAAATGTCCAGCGATATCATCGCTTTGAAAAGAAAGGACAACCCCGTGTAAGCAACATTATGTTGCATCCTCGGGGGACCTTGTCTGTCCAGCCGCGGCCCTGTCCGCGTCGAATGCGTGTCGAATCCATGTCAGACGCGTCGGATCCGTGTCGAGTCCGTGTCGAATCCGCGTCGAATCCGCGCCGAATCCGCGTCGAGTCCGCATCGAGCACGCGTCGGGCCCCCCAAAAGACACCAATTTTTGGGATAGGCGAGGTCCCCCGAAGATGCAACAGAAAGCCCCGTGTGGGCAACAGCTGCGCAGATGCACAGTGCGGCCATGACCTCCCAGGAGATTCCGAAAACCTCACTTTGACAACAAATCCGCGTCCAGCTGTGACCTACAGTCGGGGCGTTGACCCAAGGAACCCTAATTAAGGAACGAGGCCCCTGTTTTCCATAAGTTGAACTTCGATCTCATATCGAGAACCTAAGGAAAACCTAAGGCAAGCTGCGAGACAATCAAGGAACACGGAGCCCCTCCCCAATAAAAGGGTTCCTTCTTCAGCGCCCCGACTGTACGTCTGCTCAAGCTTCTGGTCTGCAGGAGGTCTCACGTGCGAGCTCCCTTTTGGAAAAGGAGCCGTCTTCCACCACTGTAGATGCTGCAAATGTCTACTCCAGATTTCGTAATCAAGGGAGGGGGGTCTCATTTCGGGGGGGGGTCTCTTCCAGGCTATCTTGGAGGGCCTGGGGGGTCTGGGGACGATGCTTTGGAGGGTTCTCCCACGGGGGAGGTCTGAAAAGGGCTTGTCTTGGACGAAGGGCTTGTCTTGGACGAAGGATTTTTTTTCCCTACCTAGGCTCTGCCTAGAAGGGTTCTTACTCTCTTTGCTTAAAGGGCCGGGCAATGGAAACCGCCCCCGGCGGTTCCCCCAGTCCCCGCCCCGCGGTTCCCCCAGTCCCCTGGAGGCTTTAGCCTTAGCTTTAGCTTTAGCTTAGCTTTAGTTTTAGCTTTAGCTTAGCTTTAGCTTCGCTTCAGCTTAGTGTTAGCTTAGCTTTAGCTTAGCTTTAGCTTAGCTTTAGCTTAGCTTTAGCTTAGCTTTGGCTTAGCTTCAGCTTAGTGTTAGCTTAGCTTTAGCTTAGCTTTAGCTTAGCTTCAGCTTATATTTAGCTTAGCTTTAGCTTAGCTTTAGCTTAGCTTTAGCTTAGCTTTAGCTTAGCTTTAGCTTAGTTTTAGCTTAGATGTAGCTTAGCTTTAGCTTAGCTTCAGCTTAGTGTTAGCTTAGCTTTAGCTTAGTGTTAGCTTAGCTGTAGCTTAGCTTTAGCTTAGTGTTAGCTTAGCTTTCGCTTAGCTTCAGCTTAGTGTTAGCTTAGCTTCAGCTTAGCTTTAGCTTAGTGTTAGCTTAGCTTTAGCTTAGCTTTAGCTTAGCTTCAGCTTAGCTTTAGCTTAGTTTTAGCTTAGCTTTAGCTTAGCCTTAGCTTAGCTTTAGCTTAGCTTTCGCTTAGCCTCAGCTTAGATTTAGCTTAGCTTTAGCTTAGCTTTAACTTATATTTAGCTTTAGCGTTAGCTTAGCTTTAGCTTAGTTTTAGCTTAGCTTAGCTAGCGTAGCTTTAGCTTAGCTTCAGCTTAGCTTTAGCTTAGCCGTAGCTTAGCTTTAGCTTAGCTTCAGCTTAGCTTTAGCTTAGCTTTAGCCTAGCTTTAGCTTAGCTTTAGCTTAGCTTTAGCTTAGCTTTAGCTTAGCTTTACTGTTACTACTAATGCTGCTTTCCTAGGGGCTCCAACTCCTAGGTAGGGTCGCACTGGGATCATAGTTTGGTTCTTGTTTGCAATCCTTCGACCCCCTCCCTTTGATTACGAAGTCTGGAGTAAGGCGAGCGTGCGCGTCGCGACGGCGAGAGCCCCGCTGTCGAGAAGAGAGCAGCCCTCCGTCGCCGTGGCTGGTGCGCAGGTTCTCAGATCGAGTACGCGCAGCGCTGAGGCGAGATCGAAGGATTGCCAAAAAAACCGAAGGATTGCAAAAACAACCAAGGATTGCAAAAAAAAAAACCCTTGGACGAAGGATTGCCAAAAAACCCAGGATTGCAAAAAAACCCTTGGTCGAAGGATTGCAAAAAAACCCAGATCGAGTGCGCGCAGCGCTGAGGCGAGATCCCGGTGTTGGAAAGAAACCGCCCTCCGTCCTGGTACAGTCGGGGCGTTGACCTAAGGAACCCTAAACAAGGAACGAGGCCCCTATTTTCCAATAAGTTGACCCTCGACTTCCGGTCGAAAGCGTAAGGAAAGCCTGAGGCAAGCTGTGAAACACTTAAGGAACGCGGAGCCCCTTCCCAACGATAAGGGTTCCTTCTTCAGGGCCCCGACTGTAGTTGTTGCAAGCTTTGAACACGAGTATGCGCGACGCTAGGAGGGAAAGCCAGTCGTTGATCACCACTCGCCCTCCATCCTGGGAGCTGTAGCGAGCATTTGAAACGAGTGTGCGTGGCGCTATGGCGAGAACCCCATTTTGAAAATCACCCGCCCTCCACACTGAGACCTGCAGCAAGCTTTTGAAACGCGTGTGCGCGGCCAAGGCGAGAGCCAATTGTTGAATCACCCACCCTCCATCCTTAGAGCTGTAGCAAGCTTTTGAAGCGCGACGCTAAAGCGAGAGCCCCAGTTTGAGAATACCCCCCTGCAACCTTGTCCGAGCTGGGTCGCGAAATTCGCGATGAGGTAGGTAAAGGCGTTGTCCGCTTGTTCATTGACCAATCCTCCTTCTGCCAACTCCGTGAAGTTTATGGAGCGAGCCAGCGAGCGGCGCCACCAGTGTTCAGGGTGATGGCTGCATACTGTTGAGCGCGATCCATATCTGTGACGATGATAGTCCACGCAAGCAAGTCCTGCACCCAGTGACGGAAGGGGTAGACGGACTCGCGTTCAGGCGACCAGGCAGGGTGCTGACGCATGTTGCCTCCTCTGCAGCCACCTCCACCGTGCTTTCCGGCTCCTCCAGGGATCATGCAGACGAGCCAGAGCAAAGCGATCACGGAGAGGATAAAGATATCACCGAATAGTGCCGAGCTGTCGATCCTCCTGTGAACAACACCGCTGTCGCTGATGCCGTTCAAGCGCCTTGGGACTCAGGCCTGCACGGGGACGAACGCCACCTCGACAATTGGGGCACTCGCAGCTGTGCCACAGCCCTTGGCGACAGCCAGGGGTGGTGGAATAGGTAGACGTAAGCCATTTTGAAGCTCTTCGGAGTGCGCGGCGTGCTCACCAAGATGAAGGCCAGCACCACTGCGCACAGTCCGAACCCAAGCACTGGGCCAGCCGTGCGGCACAACGTTAGGAGCGGCCAAGAGGGGGGTGTCCAAGAGGGGGGGGTGCAAATCATGACCGGCAGCATGTGCGCGGCCCAGCGGGGGGGCCAGGGACGTAATGAAATAAGAAGAGGCGCCATGAGATCTGGGGAAATATCATGACCCACGCCATGATATCCACCCCCCCTAGTCATCACACCCCTCTTTTCCGCCCCCGACAACGCAAATGACTGCGTTCCACTGACAATGCCAGGAAGTTGCAGGCGCGGTGAAAGAGCCAAGGCATCGATGCCTCCTTGGGTTGGAAGCCCCTGCCCTGCCCATCTGTCCCCTGAAGAGACGATGCTCTCACAGGGGCAGGCGGGAGCGAGGGAGAAAGAAGGTGGGAGGAGGAGGAGGAGGAGGAGGAGGAGGAGGAGGAGGAGGAGAAGGAGGAGGAGGAGAAGGAGTAGGAGTAGGTGTAGGAGTAGGAGTAGGAGTAGGAGTAGGAGTAGGAGGAGGAGGAGGAGGAGGAGGAGGAGGAGGAGGAGGAGGAGACGCTGGCTGCGCGGCGCTTGCGGCTGCCCTGTCCACCTGTCCCCCGAAGAGACGATGCTCTCACAGGGGCACTTGCGGTCTTCGGCGTCTGCCTCGTTGCGCCTGTGGGTGCGTTGGGCGAAGTCCCCGGAGGGTTGCAGAACAGCCACAAGCACAGGCTACTCAGGGAATGGAGGGTGGTACCAATGCGGAGGGTGGAGGAAATGCGCATGTGCGTCCACGTCGCACTCGGCGCGTCTTCCGTGGATCGCCAGCTGGGGGTGCTCCCAGCTCTGCTACCAGCTGGAACTGCATGGGTTGGTTGAAGCGAGCGAGACAGCATGAGGGCAACACTGATGCAGAGCGGTACGTCTGTTTCCTTCTCAAAAATCATGCTGGGTGGCGCCTGCGCTCGAGCCCAGACGGCAGCCAGGCATCTTGTTTGAGTGAGAAGAAGAAGAAGGAGGAGGAGGAGGAGGAGGAGGAGAAAGGATGAGAAAGGAGGAGTAGGGAGAAGCAAGCAGGGAACAGGGATGAGGAGATAAGAGGGTGCAGGAGGAGCATAAGGAGGACTCGCCTCGCCAGGATGGCGCACGCCGTCCTGGCCGTGCGCCTCCAGCCGCCGCCGCAGGAGCGAGGGAGGAGACGGATGGCGGGAAGGAGGGAGGGAGGGGTGGAAGGAGGGTAAAGGGTAGCGTAATTGTACCCGAGGAATTAGAAAAAAAGATAAAGGCCAGGCCGGAGGGTCAGGCATGGCACCGCAGGCTTGGCGCCGGTGGCCACCTGACCCAAAGTGGGTCAGGTGCTGGGGTCGCGGTTGCAGGCGGGAGCGAAGGAGAAAGAAGGTGGGAGGAGGAGGAGGACGAGGAGGAGGAGGAGGAGGAGGAGGAGGAAGACGAGGAGGAAGACGAGGAGGAGGAGGAGGAGAGGGGGAGGAGGAGGAGGTGGAGGAGGAGGAGGAGGATGAGGAGGTTGGACCCCCCCTGCCCTGTCCATCTGTCCCCCAAAGAGACGATGCTCTCACAGGGGCAGGGGGGTGCGTAGGAGGAGGAGGAGGAAGGAGGAGGAGGAGGAGGAGGAGGAGGAGGAGGAGGAGGAGGAGGAGGAGGAGGAGGAGGAGGTGTAGGAGGAGGAGGAGGAGGAGGAGGAGGAGGAGGAGGAGGAGAGGGAGAGGACGCTGGTTGCGCGGCGCTTGCGGCGTGGTGCGAGGAGCAGGGGTGCACTGTGCACCGAGAAGTCCTGCTCCCCCACGCAGCGCCGGCAAGCCCCGAGGCGCAGATGGACCTCGTGATCCGGGCCCCGCGCCTCGCTGAGCCGCTCATGGTCGACCTCACGGTCGTGAGCGCGCTCACGCAAGACGCGTTCGGGCTCGGCTCTGCGCGACGGAGCGGCGCGGCGGCGGCGGCCGCGGCGCGGCACAAGCGGGCTCGCTACCCCGGGGTGGCCGTGGTGCCCTTCGTGGTCGAGGACCACGGCCGCATAGGAGAAGAGGCGCTGGCCCTGGCGCGGTTGCTCGCGCCCGCGCGGGACACAGAGCGCTCGGCGGCCATCCGGCGACTCCACCAGTCGCTCGGGTGCGTCCTCCAGCGCAACGCCGCGGACGCGGTGCTGGCGGCGACGCAGGCGCAAGGCTGTGCCGCGCCCAACGTGGGAACCCTGGAGCGGGCTGAACTGCTGCGCGACGCGCGGCGGCTCGCAACACTGACTCGGCGCCCCGCCTGAGCCCTGGAGGCGCTGGGCCGCGCGGGCCGGGCAGCGCGGCCACTGCTGGCAGACTGGAGGGCGAGGGCTGCAGCCGCCAAGCGCGAACTGGCGGCGCCGCCGACGAAAGCTGCGAGGCGGCGGGAGCTGGGCGGGCGGCGAGGGGCGGCGAGGCGCTGGGCACCTGGCGGGGGCGGCGCGCCGGGGACGCCGCGGACGCGGGGGGCCTGGCGCGCGGCGCGCAGCCGTGGACGCTGTGCTGGCAGGCTGGAGGCGGGCGGCGCAGCCAGGGCCAGCTGAGGGCGAACTGCCGCGCGGGGCCGCCGAGGGGCCCAGGGAGCGCCACCACCGGGTCGTGGTGGTGCTCTTCGTGCTGCCAGGAAACAGAATCTAGAGGCCCCGGCTGGCGGACCCCTCTGGCCCCCCCGGGAGTCGCTGCTGTCGTCGACGGCTGGCTACCCCCGGGGGTGCCGCCCGCTTCGCGGGGCGGCGGAGGTGTCCGCCGGCTCCGGAACACAGAGCGTCAGGGCGCGCAGGAGAGACTCGCGGCCGCCCGGAGGAGGAGGAGGAGGAGGAGGAGGAGGAGGAGGAGGAGGAGGAGGAGGAGGGGAGGAGGAGGAGGAGGAGGAGGGGGGAGGAGGAGGAGGAGGAGGAGGAGGAGGAGGAGGAGGAGGAGGAGGAGGAGGAGGAGGAGGAGGAGGAGGAGGAGGAGGAGGAGGAAGAGGAGTCGAGCGTGCGGAAGGGGGGGGCTCCTGGCTGCCCACGGCCGCGCGCCCCAGCGCGCCGCCCGCAGCACGCCGCACTCACCTGCCCACAGGCAGCACAGCTGGCGGATGAGGACGGGCACCTCCGTGAACATGATCATGGCTGGACACCACCAGCGTGAGCGGCACCTTGTGGCCGGAGACGAGGGCCCCGCTGGATGGGGGGCGGCTTCTTCATGGTCCTCGAAGCCCGCAGCGACGCCTTGGCCACTGAGAAGAGGGCCTCCTCCGAGACGAACACTTCGCCTCTGAGGTTGTGGTACGTGTTGCACGCGACCACGATGAGCTCCAGGGACTCGTTGGACATGTCCGTGAGGCCGAGCTTCGCGATCTCGGTGACCATGGGGTGAGCCCTGCACGCTCTTCCCACAGCCCGCACCAAGGGCGCACATGAGAGGTAGTGTCGTAGTGAGTCTAGACCGTGGCGGCAGCCGAAGATGCAGCATTTCTGGCCCATGGGGTGGATGATGCGCCTCGAGGTCATCCATGAGAAAGAGAGGGTCCTCATCCAAGCAGCGGCCCACGACTGTGGGAGCTTGCTCATGGTGGCCCGCACCAAGGAGAATACGTCTGGAGAGTACGTCTGGGTTGAGGTTGAAGAAATCGGCATAATGCGGGAGTTCGGCCACGATCCTCGAGATAAGGAAGGGGCCTATGGAATCAGGACCCCGAGCCGACAGCGCAGCAGCATGCGCTTTTCGTTGGGCGAGATCAGGCCGAGCGTCATGGATGGCCTCCAGCGCTCCAGCAACAGCGGGGCGCAGCATGTCCGACGGGTAGTAGGCGTGCTCTGTCGAGGTCGTGGCCACCTGGTGCAGCATCTCCACGAACGATGGCATCTGCCACCATGGGGGCGAGCGGCGGAGCGCGCCACGGGCAGCGCCCATCAGCGTCTGCTGGATGCCGTACGCGTCGAGGCCTTCGTGGAGTCGCTCTCGGATCTCGGGGAACTTGCTGAACGTCGTGGTCGCGGAACGGACAATGGTGACCACCATCGCGAGCTGGAGCGAACGCGGGGCGCGGGCGCCCCGCGCTCTGAGGTGGGGCCAGTCTTTGATCCTGAAGGCACCGCTGGGGAACCGCAGGACCGAGGCGTTGATCCTGTTCTCATTCTTGAAGTACTCGTGCGGCAGCATAGCGAACTGGGCGAGGTAGCCGAGGACGGGAATCGCACGGCTATTGAAGAGAGCGGCTGAGCCCATGGACGGAGCGTCACTGGCGCTGAACATCTTGGTTCGCCATTTGAACTTGTTGAAGGCTTTTTCAAAGATCAGCTTCTCCGTCGCCCCAGGTCCGAGCAGTAGCCCGAGGTAGGTGAGGCGGTCGCAGATATTGAAGTCCTTGAATCGCGGGACGATGGCGATCAGCGCGTTGCGGAGCTTGAGGATGAGCTCGGCGTTGACCTCACCCGCGAGGGGGATTATGTGGCACTTCGGGGCCTTCAGCGTGAGCCCCGCGAGCACGTCCATAAGAATAATGGCACCGGCCAGGTGGGCGAAGTGGGCGGCCGCCTTGAGCAAGAGCCCCAGGTCGTCAGCACAGGCGCGGCAGAGGCCGCGCCCTTGGCCCTCCAGCACCATTTCGAGGTTCAGGAGAAAGCTTGCAGTGCCCATCGCGTAGAGGGTGCCGCTCCATCCGCATCCTTGGATGATGCCCGAGCGCACGTAGAACAGAGGGATGCACTGGCCTGCGCAGGGCGCCATGGCCAGTAGATTGTGGTACATTGAGTCGAAGAAGTTGAGGATCGCCTCAGGTGCGCCCATGGCCTTGAGTGCGAGGCAGATGAACTGGTGTGCGAAGCTGGGGAACGCCTGGGCGATGTCCAGCGACACGAGCACGGGCAGCACGTCCATCGCGTTGGGACCGGCGGACGCGATGCGGCTCTCGACGTCGAGCTCTAGGACGTTGTAGCCGAAGTTGCGGCGGTGGATGAATCCGCGCTGTGAGGCTGGGACCACCTCGGCGGCTACCGTGGCAGTCGCAGCGTCCATGGTGCTGCTGATGATTTTCATGGAGGTGTCGCGGAGGCCCAGAACACGGACTTTCGAGGGGTCACGGTGGCAGCCGCTGTGTTCCGAGTCCTCGGGCTCGCCACCCTCGGGGGGGAAAGGCCCGGACCGTGGCATTGCATTCGTCGGGGGGGGGGGCCTCCGTTGAGCATGTAGCACATGACCTCCCAGAGGGTCTCGGTGCACTTCTCGCGGGCGGCCCAGGCGGTGTACGGATGCCCATCCATCCCACGTGAGGTAGGGGAGGAACGGGAGGCGAACTGTTTGATGGTCTCGTAGTCGGGCGGGTTGAAGTTGTTGAAGTTGATCTTGGGCGAGAATTGGGAGAGGTAGTCGGCAGCTTTCTCCAGGTCGATCTGCTTGCCCTCGAAGACTGGTTGCCAGTGCTCCACCAACCTCTGCAATCTGTTTTTCGGCCCCATCACGGTGCCGACGCTGGTCTTGGCGCCTCCTGTCAGGACGAGCCTCTTGCTGATCGGGCTCCAGAGTTTAATCTTCCTCTGCAGAGCGCGCGATTGCGCGCGGGCCTGCGCGGGGCGCAGGCGCCCGCGCAGAGTGGCGTGGTTGATGGCTGCTTGCCTCTGGTCAGCGTCCTGGCGGAAGAGGTTGCTGGCCCACTCCTCGAACTTGACAGGGTCAATTAGCTTGACTTGTTCACCGATGAGTGCCAAGTGGTCCTGGGCAGCCTGGTGAACACGGAGTAGGCGGGCGGCGAGCTTGCGGCCCTGGCGCCACACGGCGCGGGCGATGGACTTGGCGATCTGGAGTTGAACCTCGCCGCGGTTCGGGGAAGTTTCGAGCATGTGGCCCCTGGCTTCCCTCGCGATCTCGCAGAGCAGCTCAGTGGTCAGGATGAGCTTGGACGGCGGTGACAGGTGGTTCATGTCAGTCGCCTCGAAGGCGCCGTTAGGGGGGCTGCGCAATGTGCTGGGCGATTGGCTGGTTCTTGGCTGGCTTGACGTCGCGCATGGTGAAGGAGACGAGGAGGGCGGCGTGGTCGCTGACGTGGCGGCGTGAGAGGTCCTCAGGGGTGGAAAAGGTAGTGGAGTTGACTGTCAGCTGCAGCATCTGCGTGGGCGTGATGGAGCAGAAGCAACGGTCGATCGTGGACTCGGACTTCGTCTCAGCGCAGTAGTGGGTGGTGTCTGTTCCCTCGATCTCGACCAAGTGCCTCAGCGCGCCGTGCCATTTGCGTGCCGATGCTTTGGGCGATTCAGAGGCCTCAGCGTTGGCTCTGGATTCAGGTTCCGTGAGCTTGAGCTTCCCGACGGCAGCGAAGTTGAAGTCCCCCATGACGAAGAGGATCACCTTGCTCGGGTCTGTCCTGGCGAGGTGCTGATCACTGAGGATACGGGTGGAGATGCGTTTTATGGCGGCGTTGATGATCTCGTAGTTGTGGATGTTGTAGAAGATCAGCTGCTGGTCGTTGGTGCGGAAGGAGGTGCGGAGGACCCGTCCAAGGAGGAGAGCTTCACTCTCGGCGTGAAGGCCCGCGGGGAAGACGGCGGCGACTCCGCCACTGATCATGCCGTGGTGGCCAGGGGTGAAGGAGGAGTGCATGTCCAGCGTGCTGTTGATATTCTTCATGACGGCGCGGAGCTGCGCGTGGTCCTGGTGCACCTCTTGAATGCCCAGGATCATCTTGCTGAAGGGGAGGGTCTGGAGGTACGCGGTCTTCTCTGTGACTCTTCGGCCTTGGTAGCCTAGGAGCGCACGGGCATTCCATGTGCCAACGACCAAGCTCGGTGAGGGTCCGCAGGAGGATCTCCTCAAACTGGCCGCGATCTCGCCAAAGCCAAAACTGGGGCGCGGCCTCGGGGGCGACTGCAGCACTGGCAGAGGCCTTGAGCTGCGTGCGGTCGATGCCGAGGGCGGGGAGGCCGGTGTCCTGGTAGGAGAGCACGGGGGGTTCATCGCGGCCAGGTCGGACGGAGAAGGAGATGACTGGAGCCCAGCCAGCGAGGACCCAACCCTTGACGCGGTCGACCCGCCAGTTGTGGCTCGGGAAGTCGCGCTCGAGGGCCAGCCTGATGCGCTTGCCTGTGATCTCGATCTTGATCTGCTTGGGCGACTTGTCGGGGCCGACGCGCAGCTCGACCTGCCCTCGACCTGCGACAGCTGGGGCATGGATGCGAGTCCAGTTGCCGTTGCGGTCGCGCAGGCTGTCGAGGACATTCTGGGCTCTCCTAGAGGCGGGCCCAGGGGGACCCAGGAACTGGACCGTGAAGAACCGTGAGGTTGGGTTCCCATGGACTTTGAAATCTGACTCTTTGACGTTGCACTCTGTGATCTATTTGGTGAGGGCCTCCATCGCTTTCTCGAGCGTGACGAGGCCGTCGGCGTGAACTTTGATGACCGTGGTGTCGATCTCCCTGTCGAAGTCGCGGTTGATGAACTGGCTCTACACAGGCTGCTTGTTCGCGACCTCCAGCGCTTGCTGGAGTTCCCTGATCTGGACTGCCATCGCTGCGATGTAGGCGTCGGTCTTGTCGTGCCTGGACTCCAGCTCGCCGACCCGAGCGTTGAAGATGTCGAGCTGCTGCTGGAATTCCTTGCGCGTGGCGTCGATGCGCTGGCCGACTGCGAGGTTGATGTCCTTCTCGATCTTGCCCGACAGACCATTGATCCCAGCCTGTGCGGCCTGCAAGGCGGCGGTGATGGGGCCCGTGGCGTCGCACACCGCCGTGGAGACGGTGGAGTTGATAGACTCTTTGATGGCGCTCTCCATGCTGTCGATCTTGCACTGGAGGGTTTGGACGTAGGCCATGGTGGCGAAGGCGTCCAGGTCGACCTCTTCATGTGGGGGTGGTGTCCGCGAGCGGTCACCTCTGGAGCCAGGAGCAGCACCAGGAGCAGCGCCAGCACCGTCGCCATGAGTCTTGCGCTTCGAGATGCCCCCTCTGCGCAGCGTGTGGTCGGGCGCCGCAGGGAGGAGGTCTGACATGCGGGGCGCGAAGTGGGGAGGCGTTCGATAAACGAGGCGCCCACGCCTCGAGTATGCACGAAAGCAGTCCGCGGACTAGCGGCCTCCATGTGTCGGCACAGCCAACTCAAAACCTTGAGCAAAAATGGCTACGGAGGAGGAGGAGGAAGAGGAGGAGGAGGAGGAGGAGGAGGAAGCGAGGGAGGAGGCGGGATGGAGGGAGGACGAGGGGGAGGAGGGGCGGGGAGGGGAGGACTGGGGAGAGAAAGAGAGAGAGAGAGAGAGAGAGAGAGAGAGAGAGGGTGGGAAGGAGGCTCGAGGGAGGACGGAAGCACATGCGGGCACGAGGAAGAGCGCGGCCGGCAGGCTGCAGGGCGGAGGGGAGCCGCGTCCGACCCGCGGGGCGCCTCCAGCTTGGCCGACAGCCTGGCGGCGAGCTGCCGCGGCAGCTCCTCCGCCCAGCCCGCCGCCGCGGCCCACCGGCCCTTCCGCCTTGGCGCGGCGCCGGCGCCTCGCGGCCGCCGCGCGGCCCGAGCGCCCCGCGCCGCTGGCGAGCGACGACAACGGCGACGCTGGCGGCGACAGCAGCGCTGGCGGCCGCGGCCGCGGCGACGACGACGACGACGACGACGACGACGACGACGACGACGACGACGACGACGACGACGACGACGACGACGGCGGCGGCGGCGGCGGCAGCGGCCCAGGCGCCCGTGCCTCCGGCGACGACGGCCGCCTTACGAGTCATGAGGTCCAGAGCTCTCGGCCCCCACGGACCCGCAGAAGAGGCGTATGAGGAAAAAACGTCTTACGAACCTACTTCAATTGATGTTGACTGGCTGGGCGGCCATGTCGAGCAGGAACCGTGGTAAGCCGAGCGAAAGTTTAATCACGGCGGCTCCTGTGAGCTCAGCACCTGGTGCCGCGGCATTGAACCGCGGCGGCTGTTTGTGAGCATGTCGGAATCCCGGGGCCCTTTCGGGCGCGTGGACAGTCAATCGGGGATGGACAGACCTCCCTTTAGTAAAACGTGGTTTAATGAAAACGACCTGAGGCCCAAACCTGGCGGGCGCAAGCCTGGAAAATAACGGCCGCGGCGCCCTCTCGAGAACCGAAAACAGACAATTCGCTAATCGACGTGTCACTGTTGAGGGGTTCTGTCCACCCCCGAGTCAAAGGCAGGCCGAGGCGAAGAGGCGGTCCCAGGGAGAGGGCCAGCGCCCGCGTCGCGGAGATACCGCAAGGATTCACGCGTGCGCGGTCTGGGTGCGATCTGCGGTGCTCCGCGTCGAGGGAGGCGCACGCGGACCGTCTCGCGCCCTTCGGGAGCGGCAAAGAGGGGGGCGTCCAAGAGCGGGGGGTGCAAATCATGACCGGCGGCACGTGCGCGGCCCAGCGGGGGGGCCAGGGACGTAATGAAATAAGAAGAGGCGCCATGAAATCTGGGGAAATATCATGGCCCGCGCCATGATATCCACCCCCCCCTAGTCATCACCCCCCTCTTTTCCGCCCCCGAGCCCTGGCTCCTGTCCAGCGCGTCTGCGCTTCGCTCGCCCCTTCTGGGGGGAAGCCTCTCTCACCACAAGCGCCGGGGCTGGTCCTGATGTGCCACTGCTGCTTGCCGTCGCTCGGACGTCCATTCCCCGTGCATTTGTCGGTTTCGTGCGTGTCTTTTTTTTTTTGCTCGATGGCCCAGAATGGTTCTCGATGGCTCTCGCCGAGAAAAACACACACACACACACACACACACACACACACACACACACACACACACACACACACAAATACACACGTCCGAGCGATGCCAAGGCTCGGGAGGATGGGGCAGGCGGGTCGGGCGGGCAGGCCCTGGCTCCTTCGCGCTCTTCTTGGCACTCTTCTGGTCCCACGAACAAGACCAGCCTCACTGACGGCCGCGGCACTGCTGCTGGCGCCAAGACATGGCAGACGGGCCTGCTGGGAAGAGAGTTGGGCGCAACGTCTAGGCGCCCTTTTTCCGAAGTTTGTCGCACGACAGCGGACACCACAAGTTCGAATCCCCGCGACAAGGGTTTCGAACTTGAGCCTAAATGGCTTGAGCCGAAGTGGCTACGCCCCCCTCCCCCTTCCCATCCCCACCTTCCTCCTCCTCCTCCTCCTCCTCATCATCATCATCCTCCTCCTTTTCTTTCCGGAGGCATAGAGCGCGATCGCACTGGCCGGTTACTGACGTTGCAGAGTAAACATCGCATGACCATGTTCTCAAGAGCTCTCATATCAAGTCCATTGTTTCTTCCATATGGTCTCGGCCGTAAAGGAAGATATAGATGTGTTGAAAAATCGTCCAGCCATGCTGATTGGATGCGGCACTGTCCCTCTCGGTAGCCTCTTCCTCTTCCTCTTCCTCCTCCTCCTCCTCCTCCTCCTGCTCCTCCTCCTCTTCCTCCTCCTCCTCCTCCTCCACCTCTCCTCCTCCTCCTCCTCCTGTTCCTCCTCCTCCTCCTACTTCTCCTCCTCCTCCTCGTTTTGTTTCCTCCCAGTCCTGCTCGCCACAAGAGGGGCTGTCTTGGCGCTTTACTCCGGCCTGTCAGGCCCTCTTGAGGGCATCCTGGAGCTCTCTTGGGCCAACTTGGAGTTCTCTTGGGCCATCTCAAGGCGCTTTTGGGTCGTCAGGCGTCTTCGAAGGACTGATTGGGGGCCTCTCTGGGCCGTCTGTGGTCCTCTGGGGCCGTCGTGGGCCGCCTTGGGCTGTCGAAAGCCCAGAAAAAGAGAGAACGCGAAAGTCATTGACAAACCTTCGACAAATTACTGATGGTTGCTTTGGTCGAGGCCCTGCTGGGAATTCTCTTGAAGCCCTCTTGGGCCTCTTGAGCCGTCTTTGCGCCTTTTACGGCGTATTGAAAACATCTGGAGCCATCTGGGAGTCCTTTCCTGACTGTCTTGGAAAGCACGTTGAGGGACGAGACCGGGGAGGGGGGCTCTGGAGGTTTGGCAATCTTTCGTGAGAGGAGGGGGCGCCGCATGGTCGCGCGGCCGGCCGGTCGGAATCATCTAGAGAGAGATCACAACAGCAAGTACTATAACCTATCTCTCCGCTTGCCCCCCCCCCCCCCCCCCGCAGAGTGACCACCACCAGCACGAGGGAGGAAGGACTGAGGAGGGTGATGAAGAGGAGGGAGGATGAGGGTATGGGGAAAGGGAGGGCGAGGGAGGGGGGGAAGGAGGAGTAGGAGGAGGAGGAGGAGCAGCAGCAGCAGGAACGAGCGGCCCTGCGCACATAGCTTGGGCAATCTGAGAGAGGAGAAAAAGAAGGGGGATGAGGGGCACAGGGGGAGGGGAATTGGCCTCGTCGTGGAAAGGAGGTTAGCGTGCAGACCGTGATCAGGAGAGCCGAGATGGGGGCAGGAGCAGGAGCGGAAGCGGCGCCGCGCAGCCTGCTTTTTCTCAGCGTGACTATCTTGCGCGCAATGTCGAGGAACGAAGGCTTAACGGGAAGGCATGTCAAACAATTGCAAATGTCTCCTGAGGAGGAAGATGAAAGGGAATATCTAGAGGAAAAAAAGGATAGCACCCGGCGGGAAAAAGAGGCATATGAGGACGAGGAGGCGGAGGAGGAGGAGGAGGAGGAGGAGGAGGAGGAGGAGAAGAAGTGCCCTCAAGACCTCAAGTAGCTCCCACAAGAGGGTCCCCGAGAGATCTCGAGAGGCCTCGAAGAAGCCTCTGGTCCACATGCCAGGCACCGTGGCAGGATGGCCAGGGGGCCATTAGACGAGACTGTCAGTTTCTATGCCATGCTATGCGATGCTGCGCTATACCATGCTACGATCCGCCATGCTCCGCCATGATGTGTGATGCGATGCCACACGCCACTGCTGCGCCACGATAGTCTAAATGGTGCGGTGCTACGCGCTGCTATGCTGCGCTCTGAGGTTCACTGCCTCGCACACCATTGCTTCGCACCCGAGTACTATCGTATCGCGGATGTTTGCCGTCAACCAAATCTGATAACCACAGCCAGGATCACACCAGGCTCGTGTGAGATGCGACCCCCTATGCTGAAGGCGCCCCGTGCTAAATCAGCGTAACTCCTGGAAGCTCCTAGCTTGCGGACCGTGAGGTGCGAGGAAGTCTGGGGCGAACCGCCTGGCCCGCCTGCCCTCAACGCGCCTGGCACTGCGGCGAGGAAACGATTGTGCGGAGGAGGGAGGATTTGAAGGGGCCCTGGGACACACAAACAAATAGACACAAGTCACGGGATTCCCCGTATGTTCCCATATTTTCTGGGTGTTTGTCTTCCCCCCCCACTTCCCGTACTTTTCCTACATTTTCCTGGGAGTCGACGGTTCGTTGTTGTGTCTGTGTGTTTCTTCCCCTCCTGAGGATCGACGAGGGAGCGGGAGAAGCAGCAAGAAGAGGCCCGTCGCGCACCACGGTGTGGCCGCGGACGCGGGCGCCCTGCCTCTGTACCAACAGCCTCGCGGCGCGGGCTGCAGGTCGTGCGACCTCGGCCCCCCCAGCGGGGGCCAGAGGACAGGAGGAGGGGCAGGACGAGGCGAGACGGGAGGACAAGAGGAAGAAGAAGGACAATTGCAGTTCTTCGTTTTTGCAATGCTTCGTTTTTTGCAATTCTTCGAGCAGGACGAGGCGAAATGGGAGGACAAGAGGAAGGGGGGGGAGGTGTGACGCTCCGTTTCCTCGGCACCTTGCACGGGGCCCTACTTGTTGCTGCCCAGAACGCGGAGGGCCTCGTCGACCTTGCCCTTCATCTGCTGCTCGGACTCCAGGAGGATCAGGAGCTCGCTGTTGTCCATCTCCAGCATCATGCCTTAAGGGGATCAGGAAGCAGTGTACATCCCACCACCCATCTGGGCATGGGTGACTTCGACCGATAGTTGTGCCCCCCCCCCCTGTCTTCCCCTTCGGGGAGAGTTGAATTATCCCCCCCTGTCCCCCTCCCCTAGGGCAAGGACCGTGTTCCCCTAGGCGTTGGGGCGTCCACCATGCCCAAGATGGTTCGCTTCCGAACCTTCGAAGCCTCGAGGTGGCTCAACGATCCTCCGAGAGACCCCCATAGGAGGGGTATAAATACGCAGATTCGGCCCCGAGAGCGCCCAAGAGCGCTCCAGGAGGGCCACAGGAGGCGATGCTGCTGGCTCCGACGGAGCACTCTGATGCGTTTTGGCTTGGATCGATGGCCTCTGGGATGGCCTCAAACACAGGATGCTCAGCATCACTATGCCTATGTCGTGACTGCTATGATTAGGTCGGGCATGTCCCCCTACAGGGGGATTTCCGACGAAAAATAACAAATACCCCAAACATGCCCCAAAAAGGTCAACACATAGACAAACACTAGTCCCCCGACGATGTTTGGACTATTTTTGGATTATGTTTGGGTTTTTTATTTGTCGTCGAAAATTCCCCTGCAGGGGGACAGGCTCGACCTAATGCTACGAGAGACTGAGAGAAAAGGGAGGTCGGGGCCGCCGCTCCAAAGAGAGCCTCGAGACACACACCCAAGAGACCCCCTTAAGAGGGTGCCCCGAACGCTCCCCTCCTCCCTCCTCCCTCCCCTCCTCCCTCCCCCCTCCCTCCTCCCTCCTCCCTCCTCCCTCCCCCTCCTCTCCTCCCCCCTCCCTCCCTCCTCCCTCATCCCTCCTCCCTCCTCCTCCCTCCTCCCTCCCTCCTCCTCCCTCCTCCCCCTCCTCCTCTCAAGCAACTCTGGCCCGAGCGGGGGCGGGGGGGGGGTACTGGGTGGTCCTTACACCATACGCCCTCCTTGTCACATTTTGTGCGCTCCTACTTGGCCAGTCCTCGCGCCGCCTCGTGGTGCTTGGGGGACAGCACGCCACCCGCGCCTAGTGCGCAGGCGCTCGTGCTTGACGAAAGCGAGGAAGTCTTTTCCGACGTTCGAGAGGAGCACTCCGACTCACAGGGGAGGGAACTTCGGTGGTCTGGCCCTTTCAAGGGTCGGCACGGCCAGGAGGGTTCCTTGCGTGGGAGCCCCTGGTGACGCCCCACACCCTGGTCTGGACAGGCACAGATCATCGGCGTTATGGATCCTAATCTCTTGGAGTACTGGGAGGCATCAGACGTCGACATCAGTGTACTGGAACAGCACCATGCTCAAGCTCTGCGGGAACTAGGGGTCAGCGTGCGAGAACGAGATTTACTTAACCTTTTTGGGGCAGCCCTTGCAGTGGTGCCGGCTGTGGTTGTGGTATCCTGCGTCTGTCCGCCGCTCTCGTTTCGCGATGACCTCGATTGTCTCTTGCGTCGATACCTTGGTCAGAGGCAGATCGACGCTACGACCCGCAGGCTTCTCTACGACCAGCTCATATATGAGGCGCTCCATGGTCAGCTTCCGAACGCCACGATCATAGAGATTGCACGGCGCACGGACTGCATGCGGATCGCCGCGGTGCCCAGTTTCACGGCTTCATTACGCCCGATCCCGAATTACAGACCCATGGAAGGGACTACGCACAGTAACGCAACGGCGGCCTTGCGCCCGCTCGGCCACGGGAGTGATTTGGTCATGCGAGGCACTCGGGATGGGCCGTTTCAGCTTCGCAACTATTTAGAGCGAGACGGAAGTTTCAATTTAGAAGCACTGGTTTATCAAGCCACTGCATGGCGCTGGCATGTTGCTTTCACAGCTCAATGGGACGGTTCCATGTGCCACTCCTGCGCAGTTGCTGTCTGCAGGGCTATGGGAGCTGCTGCCATTCCGAGGGAGCCAGCGCCTTTCCTTTTACGCAATCACGAGTTTCGTCGCATGAGTCATTGGTCAGGACCTTACGCCTCATACTGGGATCATGCCATGGATCATCAGATGGAGCGAGTTTTGGACGAGCAGCTCGCAGCAGTCAGCGCGGACACGGTCGTCATCAATAGTGCCGACGAGCTTGCGAGACGCATCCATCCGAGGGCCAAACTCAATGCCGCTGTCATGTGGATGTTTGCGGAGCGCTGCACATTCTCTGCTACAGAGCCGACATCGGGTGCTGAGACGGAGGCTCAATAAATTTGGGCTCACGTTGTTGTTACCTTTTGTTCGGGTATGGTGCTCTTGCAGTTCGGCTGGCTACAAAAATTTGGGTCATCTGCGCTGCCACGTGTTCAGCTATCCTTTTGCAATGGGGCTCTCTTCAGTGCTGTGCTGGCGCCGTCATTTACTTTGTGGTCGTCTCCCACAGCCGCCTGGGGAGGGTATTTGAATTCAAGTTTTGATTGGTCTCAGTGGGTGAGATCAATCCTTTCAGTGCATTGGTGGGCATGAAGGAAAGAAAGTGGCCGCTGTTTGGGCCAATGAAGCAGGGAACGGGGCTGGCGATCTCTGTTTGGAGCCTCTTGCTGTTGCTTGTGGAATTTGAGGTTGCCCTTTTGGGCCGAATCGAGTTGGTCCTTTCTCAGTTTTGTTGGTTTGCTCACTGTGTGTTCGCTGAGGTATTCATCCAAAGTCTGTTGCTCGGAGTCTTCTTGTCTTATCACTGGCGTCTCCATCGGCGACATCATTTTGGGCTTCTCGCTCGTTTGCACTTCCTCATCTGGTCCGTGCAGTTCCTGTTCGAGGTCAGGGGAGGCCGCTTTGCTTTGACATGACACCGTCATATTGCCATCCATCCATCCATCCTCCCTCCTCCCTCCTCCCTCCTCCCTCGGGGAGCTCCACGCTGGCTCCAGGAGGAGGCTCCAAGATGCCTGAAGACGTCTTTGCGTCGACTGCTGTTGGCCTCCTGGTTTCGTTGCACTATGGGCTTGCCAACGCCCCTCTCTCACAGCAGCCTGCGTTTGGGCATCGTTTCTGGATGGCCTGGCAGGTCTACGCGAAGCGTCAAGAAGGCAAACTCTCGGCGATTCGCGCGGACCTCCCAGAAGTTGCGCATTATGCAGCTTATGTTGGGAGCGGCCAAGTGGGGGGTGTCCAAGACGGGGGGGTGCAAATAATGACCGGCGGCATGTGCGCGGCCCAGCGGGGGGGCCGGGGACGTAATGAATCAAGAAGAGGCGCCCTGAGATCTGGGGAGATATCATGGCCCCCGCCATGATATCCACCCCCCCCTGGTCGTCACCCCCCTCTTTTCCGCCCCCGACTTATGGTCCCCCGAGCGCCTGTGATCTTCCCCGCCAGCTCCAGCTGGTACGTGGTTTAGTGAAAACGACCTGAGGCCCAAACCTGGCGGGCGCAAGCCTGGAAAACGACGGCCACGGCGCCCTCTCGAGAACCGAAAGCGGACACTTCACTAATCGACGTGTCACTGTTGAGGGGTTCTGTCCAGCCCCGACTTCTATGGCCCCCCGAGGTGCCCGTGATCTTCCCCGCCAGCTCCGGCTGGTACTTGGCGATCATGGGTCGGGTCGGGCGAAAGGGGGGGATAGCAAAGGGGGGGTTTGAGAATCAGCTCACGTAGCTGATTTTCCCGGCGCCTCCCGGCGCCGGGAGGCGCCCATGTATCGAAGAAGGGGCCCCTCCGTGGGGCCGAAACCAGCTGCATGCAGCACATTTCGTACCCCCCCCTTTCCCAATCCACCCCTTTCGCCCGGCCCGAATGGGGAACAGCTTCTCGCCGATCATCTGCTTCTGCACTGAGGGCGGCGCGGCGGCGAGCGCCGAGGCCGAGAGCGGCCCCCCGGCGCCGCCCTGCGCCTGCGCGGGCGGCGCGGCGGCGGGGCGCGGCATCTGCTGCGGCATCATCCCGGGGCGCATGGCGCCCGGCATCATGCCGGGCATCATGCCCATGCCTTGAGGGACGAAAAAACGACCCTACCCTGGGTTACAAGTGCGTGGTCTGTAAACCTCCTGGGAACCCCCAAAGCCTAGAGCCGCCAGGACGCGGCACATCACGCAGGGTTTGTTCCTGTCGTCCCACAGGAGTTTCAGCGCACAGCGCCTCGTAAACCAGGGTAGGGGCGTTTTTTCTGCCCTTGAATGCCGCCCATGCCCGTCATGCCCATCTGCGGCATGCCGCCCTTGCCGCCCATCATCATGTTGGGCATGCCCGGGCGCATGCCCATCATCTGCTGCATGCCCATCATCTGCGGGCCGCCGGGCATCGGGCCGCGGGCGCCCATGGGGTTCATCATCCCGCCCTTCCCGGCCATCATCATCGCCTGCGCCTGCTGCGGCATCATCCCCATCATGCCCATCTGCGGCATGCCCATGCCCATGCCCATCTGCTGCCCGCCCTTGCCCATCATGCCCATGCCGCCGCCCATGCCGCCCTGCATGCCTCCCATCATGCCGCCGCCCATGCCACCCTGCATACCGCCCTTGCCGCCGAAGCCCTTTGCGCCGCCCTTGGCGCCGCCCTTGTCGCCGCCTCCAGGTGAGTAGCGCTGCCGCAGACGCTCCTGGCGGGCCTCGCGCTTCTCCGCGAGGCCCACGTAGAGGGGCTTCCCCTTCACGACCTTCAAGTGCATCTCCGTGACGGCCTTGGTCGCCTCGTCCGGGGACTGGAAGCAGACGAAGCCAAAGCCCTTGCACTTGCCCTTGTCGTCGAGCGGCGCCGCGACGGAGGTGATCTGGCCGAAGGACTCGAAGAGGGCACGCAAGGAGGCCTCGTCCGTGCCCTCGTCGAGGTTCTTGACGTAGAGGTTCACGCCCTGCGGCTTGCTGTCGGGGCGCGACGCAGCCGGGAACTTGTCGCGGAGCTCGGCCGAGCGCTCGAGCTTGGTCTGAGCACGCTGGACGAAGAGCTTGCCCACGTCCTCCTTGAACTCCTCCTTCAAGTCCTCCTTCAGCTTCGCGATTTGCTCCTCGCTGCGAACCTCCTTCCCATGCAGCTCAGCCACAGCAGCCTGAGCGGATTCCGTGGTCTCGAAATTTACGAAGGCCATCTTGCGTCCCTTCTTGTCCTCCCGGATGCACATGGACGTGATGGTGCCGAACTTGCCGAACTCTTCCTTGATCTTCTCTTCGTCCCACTCGGCAGGCATGGTCTTGCAATACACGTTCGTGAAATTGGTTACTTCTGGCCTGACGCGATCGCCGCGCTTCTCGAAGGCGGTGACCTCCACCGTCTTCTCGCCAATCTGCATGCCGTTCACGCGCTCGATGGCCTGCTTGGCAGCCTCCTCGGTCTCGTAGTGCACAAAGCCGTAGCCATGGGACTTCCCCGACAGGTCGGACGCCACTTTGCAAGACAGGATGTTGCCGAAGAGACTGAAGGTGTCGTACAAGGCTTTGTTGTCGATGTTCTTGTCCAAATTCTTCACGTAGATGTTCCCAGCGCCGCTCTTGCGCATGCTCGGGTCGCGCTGGGTCCACATGATGCGGCACGAACGGCCCTTGATGCTGGAGTAATTCAGCGTGTCGAGCGCCCTCTCGGCGTCCTGCACGCTGTGGAAGTTGACATACGCGTATCCGAGAGACCTGCGGGCGGGCCCCCCGACAAGCCGGAGGCGCACAGGCGTTGCGCGGCCCCTCGCGGGCGCGGCCAGGCGGAGGGCGGAGGAAAAGAAGAAGGAGGAGGAGGAGGAGGAGGAGGAAGGAGGAGGGAGGCGAGAGAGGAGGAGGAGAGGAGGCGGAGGAGGAGGAGGAGGAGGATGGGAAGGAGGAGGAGAGGAGGAGGAGGGAGGCGGGAGAGGAGGAGGAAGGAGGAGGAGGAGGAGGAGGAGGAGGGAGGAGAAGGGCGGAGGAGGAGGAGAGAGGAGCGTAGGGTGAGGAGGAGGAGGAGGAGGAGGAGGAAGGGAGGAGGAGAGAGGAGGAGGAGGAGGAGGAGGAGGAGGAGGAGGAGGAGGAGGAGGAGGAGGAGGAGGAGGAGGAGGAGGCGGAGGGGAGGCGGAGGGAGGAGGAGGAGGAGGAGGAGGAGGAGGATGAGAGGAGGCAGGAGGAGGAGGAGGAGGAGGAGGAGGAAGGGAGGAGGTAGGAGGAGAGGAGGAGGAGGAGGAGGAGGAGGAGAAAGGAGGAGGAGGAGGAGGAGAGGAGGAGGAGGAGTGAGGGAGGAGGAGGAAGGAGGGAGGAGGGGAGAGGAGGAGGAGGAGGAGGAGGATGGAGGAGGAGGAAGGAGGAGGAGGAGGAGGAGGAGGAGGAGGAGGAGGAGGAGGAGGAGGAGGAGGAGGAGAGTGGAGGAGGAGGAGGAGGAGGAGGAGGAGGAGGAGGAGGGAGGAGGAGGAGGAGGCGGAGGAGGAGGAGGATGAGGAGGAGGAGGAGGAGGAGGAGGGAGGAGGAGGAGGAGGGACGCGCCCGTGCGGCCTCCGGCCCACCTCCCGCTCCTCCCGCCGCAGCCTCAGGAGCCGAGGAGGCGGGCGGAGGCGACGCCGAGGCGCGAGAAATCCGCGGAAGACTGGCCCCCCGGATCTCGCCATCGCTCGGACGTCCATTCCCTCCTCCTCCTCCTCCTCCCACCTCTCCTCATCCTCCTCCTCCTCCTTCCCTCCTCCTTCCTCCCTACTTCCTCCTCCTCCTCCTCCGACTTCCGGGTCACGCTGTCGCGGCAGACGCGGATCGACGCCACTGGCCCCACGGAGTTGAAGATCTCGTACAGCATCGCCTCTGCGGCGAGGGAGCCCCCGCCCAAACTGAAGGGGCCCTGGGACACACAAAAAAATACGCACAAACAAAAGGATTCCCCATATTTTCCCATATTTTCTGGGCTTTTGCCTTCCCCCCCACTTCCCATATTTTCCCATATGCTCTGGGGAATCGGCGATTCATTGTGTCTGTGTGTCCCTTTCCCTCCTGACAAGCTGCCCCACAGGATCGCCCGCCTCCGCGGGCCGCGCACCCGCAGCTTGCGCGACGAGCGCGGCCCCCCTCGCGCAGCTCCGCCCCCCGCGCCGCCCCACCCCCCCACCCTGGGCTTAGGTCGGGCCTGCCCCCTACAGTGGGATCTTCGACGAAGAACTAACAAAAACCCAAAATACCCTAAGAAGGTCAACAAATACTAAAAAAATAGTCCACAGACTGTTTCTGGACTATTTTTGGAATGTTTTGGGTTTTTCTCTTATTATTCGAAAATCCCCCTCTAGGGGGACAGGCCCGACTCAACCCCAATCGGCTCCGGAGAGAAAGAGAGAGAGAGAGAGGGTGCCCCGGAATTCGTCCCCCGAATGATGGGGAACCCAGAGACCTTCGCTGAGCAGCCGTTTTCCGATGTTTTTTTTGGGGGGGGCTTCTCATACCTCGCCTCCCCGAAGGTCGAGGGGGTCTGTGTAGGGGGGCGGGCCCGACTTCGTCTTATGTCGGGTGTGTCCTACAGGGGGATTTTCGACGAAAATTAACAACAATACCCCAAACATGCCCCCAAATGGTCAAAACATACTCAAAACATAGTCCCCAGATCATTTTTGGACTATGTTTGGACTATTTAGGGAGTAGTTTAGACTATGTTGGTGCATTGTTGGACAACAACTAATCTGGGGCTTTGTTTTTTGCATCTTGTTTGACCCTCTTGGGGTATTTGAGTTTTTTTGCAAAAAAAAAATCCTCGTCGAGAATCCCCCTGTAGGCGAGGCAGGCCCGACGCAACCCCCGGGCAGAGGGAGGCGGCCGCCCGAGGCCCGTCTTTGAGCGCTCTTTTGGGCCGCCTCGGAGCTCTCTTGGCTCGTCCTGTGACCCTCTGGGGCCGTCTTGGCCCGCATCGAGGCCCTCTGGGGCGGTCTTGGGGAGGGGGGCTCTCACACTTCGCCTCCCCGAAGCTCGAGGGGGGTCTCTGCAGGCGAGGCGGGCCCGACTCAACCCCCGGGCAGAGGGCGGCGGCCGCCCGAGGCCGGGCCACGGGCGCGCGGGGCGCGCGGCCAGCCTCGCGCCGCGGGCGGGCGGGCCCGGACCTCGCCAGCGCTCGGACGCCCATTCCCGCCGAGGATCGCTCCAGCAGAGGCAGAAAACGTGTCTCTGTCCCCCCTCTCCTCCTCCTCCTCCTCCTCCTCCTCCTCTCATCCTCCACTCCTCCTCCATCCCCTCTCCTCCTCCTCCTCCTCCTCCTCCTCCTCTCCTCCTCCTCCTCTCCTCTTCTTCTTTTCTTCTCTTATTCTGCCTCCTCCTCCTCCTCCCTCCTCCTTCCTCCTCCTCTCCTCCTCCTCCTCCCTCATCCCCTCCTCTCCTCTCCTCTCCTCTCTTCTCCTCCTCATCCTTCCTCCTCCTCCTTCGCTCGCTTTTGGTCTCGTGCGCGTTTTTTTCGCAGGAGGGTCCAGGCTGCTCCTTCATTTTTGGCGCCCGAATTGGGCACGGAAAAAATGGGTACAATGTCCAACAAGAAGTGTTGTCCCTGCCCAACAGCGGCCGCTGTAGGGCAGGCGGCCTCATGTCTCGAGTGGACACAGGACGCGGCGGCCTGCTCAAAATGAACAGGATCCGCTGTTGGGCACTGTACCCATTCTTCTCGTCCCCATCTCGTGCGTGCCGATTCACGCTCCCCGCCGAGAAAAAGGTGCACACGTCCGGGGGATGCCAAGGCAGAGCGTGGCCAGCTTCGCGCGCGGGCGGGCGAAGCTGGCCACGGGGCCCCCGCGGGGGCTTCGCGCGCCGGCGGGCGAGATGGTGAGCAGGGGGGGGAGCGTGGCTCGCCGGGGTCGGACGACCCGGGGCGCCGGAGCACGGGGATAATCGGGCGGGAGGCTATCTTGCGCCATGTTCGGCGGTTTTGGTCCACTTAGGAAACCATCTGGGAGCACTGGAGAGGCTCTCTTGGGGCTCTCTTGGGCCAGCTCGGGCGCCCCGGCCGATCGCGGGGCGCCCCTCCCAGGGCCCCTCCCCCGGGCAGGGGAAGGAGGGGCTGTGGAAGAGAGGGGACAACATTTGTTGAACCACCTTCGGGAGCGGCCAGGAGGGGGGTGCCCAAGAGGGGGGAGTGCAAATCATGACCGGCGGCATGTGCGCGGCCCAGCGGGGGGGCCAGGGACGCAATGAGATAAGAAGAGGCGCCCTGAGATCTGGGGAGATATCATGGCCCCCGCCATGATATCCAACCCCCCCCTAGTCATCACCCCCCTCTTTTCCGCCCCCGAGATAAGCTTAAGTCGGGCGTGTCTTGGCGGCGAGCGAGGGGGGGCAAGTGAGCAGGAGAAGGCCTTCTCGGCGGAAGGCGGCGGGCTTCTCAGAAGCCCTCGCGCCTTCTGAGGAGTGTCCTGCGTCTTCGGGAAAGGCGCAGAAAACTTCTCAGAAGGCCGGGGAACTTCCGAGACTTCTGAGAAGGCCTTCTCCTTATCATTTCCCTCCTCGCTCGCCGCCGAGTGTCCCCCTACAGGCAGGCTTTCGACGAAAATTTGAAAACAGTCAACGAACATCGAAAAACAATGCCCTCAAATACGCAAAAAAAACCATCCCCAAACTATTTTTGGGCTATTTATGAACATTCCTCCTGTAGAGGGACACGCCCGACTTCAGGATAAGCCAACCGGCTGCACAAGGCTGCCTCTTCCTGGTTCGGGGAGACGTCAAACTCGGGTACGGGGGACTCGGGCCGGCCTGGCGGGGCCATCACAACAATGGCGAGGCCCCATCGGAAATTCGAGGCAAGCTCCCGCTGCAAGCATCCCAAGAAAACTCGACCGCCAAAATCCAGGACGCGCTCGTCAAAAAACGTTGGCAAGCCCGGGTCCTGGCTCGGCTGCACGCAAGAGTGACACTGGGTAAGAGTGACCTTTGGTGCGCGGCGTTCTGGGGGCCGCACGGAGGCCAAACCTGGGCGCGTAAGCCGCTGCTACCGCTCCGTTTTCATCCATCTGAGGGCCCATCTGTGCCCGCACCAAAGGTCACTCCGGCGTCACTCTTACGTCTAGTCGACTGGCTTACTCGAGTTTTCTTTTTCCCAGATTTTGAGCAGGGACCGACCGTCCCAGCATTCCTGTAGTCATACCACGAAATGTTCTTAGAACCCAAACATGTTCTAAAAACAAAAACAGTGTTCTTAGAACATACTCCCGATGAGTCAAAACAAGACAGTCCCAACCAGGAATGTCCTAAGAGCAGTTCGTGGGAACCACAAAAGGTTCTTAGGACATTGTTTGGTACGGCTATAGTCGGGTCGGGCGAAAGGGGGGGATAGCAAAGGGGGGGGGTGATAATCAGCTCATGTAGCTGATTTGCCCGGCGCCTCCCGGCGCCAGAGGCGGCCATGTATCGAGGAATGGGCCCCTCGGTGAGGCCGAAACCAGCTGCATGCAGCAAATTTTGTAACCCCCCCTTTCCCAATCCCCCCCTTTCGTCCGACCCGATATAGGCGAGCGACGAGGAGGTGCCCCTCCGTGCCCTCCCCCCCCCCCCGGTGCCCTCCCCGTGCCCGGTTGCCCCCCCAGCGGCCCTCTCGAGACGGGCCAGGGAAGGAGGGAGGAGGAGGAGGGAGGAGGAGGAGGAGGAGGGAGGAGGGAGGAGGGAGGAGGGTAGGAGGGAGGAGAGGAGGAAGGAGGAGGAGGAGGGGAGGAGGAGGAGGAGGTAGGAGGAGGAGGAGGAGGAGGAGGACAGGTGTTGTTAGGAGTTGTAGGAGTTGGGAGGAGGAGGACGAGGAGGAGGAGGAGGAGGGAGGGAGGAGGGGAGGAGGAGGAGGAGGAGGAGGGGAGGAGGAGGAGTTGTAGGAGTTGTCGGAGGTTGTAGGAGTTGTAGGAGTTGGGAGGAGGAGGACGAGGAGGAGGAGAGGAGGAGGAGGAGGGAGGAGGAGGAGGAGAGAGGAGGAGGAGGGAGGAGGAGGAGGAGGAGGAGGAGGGAGGAGGAGGGAGGAGGAGGAGGAGGAGGAGGAGGAGGGAGGAGGAGGAGGAGGGAGTGGATCTGGCGCGTGGGCGCCTGGTCCACAGATCCGGGAGGGTGCTCCCCGAGACGTGCGGCCAGTGCCGCCAGGGTCGGCGACGGAGCGCGCCGATCTTGAATGGAGGCCGGGCCCGTCGCCGATGCGCGCCCCGCTCCCTGCCCGCGCTCCCTCGGCCATGTTGGACGCCCGAGTTATCCGGGGTAACTCGGGTCCGGGGTAACTCGGGTTCGGACTCCCGAAAAAGGAACCCGAGTTAGCCCTGACCCGAGTTACCCCTGATGATTCGGGGTACTGGAGCCCGGGTTTCCGGGGGTTAACTCGGGTCCGGCGGGTAACTGGGTTCGGGTTCCCGAAAAGGAACCGAGTTTCCTGAACCCGAGTTACCCCTGATGATTCGGGGCTCTGGACGCCCGAGTCATCCGGGGTAACTCGGGTCCGGGGTAACTCGGGTTCGGGTTCCCGAAAAAGGAACCCGAGTTATCCCTGACCCGAGTTACCCCTGATGATTCGGGGCTCTGGACGCCCGAGTTATCCGGGGTAACTCGGGTCCGGGGTAACTCGGGTTCGGATTCCCGAAAAAGGAACCCGAGTTATCCCTGACCCGAGTTACCCCTGATGATTCGGGGCTCTGGACGCCCGAGTTATCCGGGGTAACTCGGGTCCGGGGTAACTCGGGTTGGATTCCCGAAAAAGGAACCCGAGTTATCCCTGACCCGAGTTACCCCTGATGATTCGGGGCTCTGGACGCCCGAGTTATCCGGGGTAACTCGGGTCCGGGGTAACTCGGGTTCGGACTCCCGAAAAAG